TCATTTCGCCAGTTTCCAATTTTTGTTACACACATTTCATTGCAAGATCTTCATACACATGATTTATAACTCTCCATTATTCCGCTCAAGTCCTATAGCACTGCAAATACATCCAACAAATTGAAGAGGACTTTTTCCCTTTTTTACTTTGGTACATATGCTTTTACCATGATTTGTAGACGTCAAGTGACTTTCATTGATGAATTTTATAAATAGAACGAGGTTTAGGAAAATATTTTTGACAGCCATAGCGAGAATAATATTTTCTAGCGAAAGAGTCGGCGTAAAATTTTTTTATCGGAGAGAGTAAAACAAAAACCCAGATTATTCTTTCGAAACGATTCTCTTTTACTACAATTAAAACAATATCTGAGTAAAAAACCCAGATTATTCTTTCGAAACGATTCTCTTTTATTACAATTGAAACAATATCGGATCCGATCCCGGTACGGATAAAAAAAACGAGGAAAAATAAGTGTCAAGACCGGGGCTCAAATTTATTCCAGTCCTGACCTCTCTCGTAGCTGCTTTGTTCATTTAAAGCAGATACTAACATAATATGTGGAATACTATATTGTCAGCGTCATTTTGGCATTGAATGGGATTCTTTTAGCCCATTGGGAGCTAAAAACAAAGCAATCCAACCCCCCCCCCCCCAAAAAAAAAAACAACAAAAAAAAAAACAACATTTATTTCTAAAAGTTATTAAATAGGAATAAGGTATTTTTTCACTTTTTGTTAACTAGGAGGGGCAAGTGTACCGTTAGCTTATGCTGTTGCTGGTGTGAATGCTGGTGTGAATGCTGGTGTGAATGGTGTGTGTGTTGTTGCTAATGCTTCTGACGCGGTAGACCTCGCAGAGAAGGCCAAGCGCGCAAGAAACAATGCACATACTGCTAGATGCGACCGCAGTAAACTTGTTGATGAAAAAAGTTCCTTGTTGTCTGAAATAAGACCCTTACAAATATTTATTGGCAAGTATACTTATTTTCATTCATTTCATATAATTTTATCTTTGTTTACAGTTATTCAGTTGTTTTACAAACATAGGACAAATACAAACGAAAACGAATGTATTTAAACATTAACGTCCATTAGTGCTTTTAGCGTTATTATAATTCATTGACGATATAATTTTATATAAACAAAAAACTATGCTTATCTAAAATAATATGATAGAACAAAACTTCACATGCTTAGAAGTAATGGCCTAAAAACGTGTAAGTTGCTATGCTACATTGATACTTAACCCGGTAATATGTTAAAGCTACTTATTTGCCCAGTTTGATTGATAGTCATAACAATGTTCGTTTTTATCAATTGTACTTTTACTATACCTTAATTACACAAGTACTCAACTGAGCATACATTAAACATTAAATTTGTAAGTTGCACAGCGAAATTATGTATATACATGCATTTTGCATGTTCAGCAGACATTTTTATTTAAAGATAACACACCTTTTTAAAATCTGAATAAAAGAAAGTTATCAATTGATCAGTAAATAATTTGATCGTCTATTATGAAACTTTTGCTTTAAGTTTCGTTCAAGATGTTTGCACAGTTTCGAAGTTATGACGCAAGTTTTAGAAAAACTTTTTCTTTTCGGAGAAAAAAAGGAACAGTAAAAATTGATATAATACCAGACTAATGTTTTGCTGTGCGATTAACAAAACGTATAAAAATGATATTGTAGAAATATTTTTTTCATTTAAATGAAACACCTGTTTGGATAAAAACGCGGAGAAATTAATTAAGTCTGGTTCCCGGGCTAAATTTACAACGGAAAATGACGCAGTGTAAGGGAAGGAACTCCAGATTAAAATAACATACGCAAGGCTGTTTTCATGATAGAGTCAAATAAATGTATTTGCGACAGTATTTACACACTTGGTAAACTACACTTTGTGAATTTTAGTATTTCAGTTGTAATTTGATTCTGACTTTGTCCTAGTTATTGAATTTACATCCTTGTTCTACTTTGTCCGTGTATCAATAAATGGTCACGGAATCAAATAGTTTTAAATGCTGGATATTTTTCAGGTTGAGTTAAATCAGCTCACAATATACATTCAATGGACTGGGTATTATAATGGTGACTGACAAAGAACTGATATTGATAAAATATTGAAACTAACTAAATAGAAGAAAGACTACCATTTTTCAATCAGTAAAGGTTATCAAAATATAAAATAAAGGATATTTGTAAAACATATCACTGGTTAAATCATATTTGTAGAGCAGAACATAAAATTGTAAACAATTTGGAAAACTGAAAGTTATTTTGACTTTATCAGTGCACATTGATGGGCATGATGCCGATTTTACAATAATGAAACTAAATGTGTCAACTAAACATTTTGTTTGCATTTTCAGACAAATCAAAATCGCAGGTAAAAAATCTAAAGGCGCTTGAAAGATTTTTGTACAGATGTTTTGATTCTATTGACAACTTTCAGACAAACGCTGAGGTAATTATCTTAAATTCTCAATTTAGGCAACAAAACAACATAAGTTATTCTACTCTGGTATTTATGTAAGAAAATTTTCAAAACACCAACATTTAACTGAAGTACACTGAATGCATACAATATCAAAATCATTTTCTATTTAGAGTGTAAAGATTTGAAATATAATTAGAATTAAAGATTATATATGCCAAATGTGTAAGCATTAATTTTTTATCATGTTTAAGGAATAATTATTGTTTTGAAGCCTGCGCGTGTTTTTGTTTAAATGTAAAGGATAAATGGTTATAACGTAAATTGTCGTGTTATATCGCTATGCTGGTTTAATTTCAACACATCATATGCATTTTATAAATTACACAAACACAAGTTCATATCAGGGAACAATATAGGTACTTTGACTGATTTGCATTACATTATTACAGCGCTTTATTGATTTGGGTATGGTGGCTGATTTGTGTCATTTGTGTTTCGCTCCGGAAAGCCAAGCCGAAAGTCGAGATTTAACAAGTAAAAATGGCGGGAACGTAGAGCGAAAACACGCTTTATAGTGTTTTTTTTTAAATTTTATTGTAAAAATATACTCACATTATTTTATGCTTTTCAGTGGATTACTGATTTATCCGTGAAAATTATATTTGATAATTTCACAGTGAAAATTATCAAAATATAATTTCACTTTTTTCAATGACAAAACTACTTTTTTAAGATTTTCCCCATGTGGTACCTCAATTTTATTTTTACTGACAATTCTGACAATATCAGGCTGTTAAAAAAAATAGCAAAGCTGAAATAGATAAATAACTTAAATGTCAAAAGTAATAAAGAGAGAAAACTTACTTCTATTCCTTCAAATTCCAATCACAAAATTCGTCTCTAAATTTTTTTGTTTCGTTTTTACAGTCTGAAAAATACATTCCTTCCCCATGCTAAACTGCTCTTGATGACATTTGGGCATATTAAAGTATCCTACGAGCAATAACTGCCGTATGCTTTATGAAAAATTGAAAAGCATTGACAGCCATCACTCGTAAAATAAGTAAAATAACCCAGCGTTCCTTACAATGCCTTAGCAAGCTTCCAAGTTTTCCATTTTCCTAGCTCCTTTTCTGAATGTTTTCACTTCTGTCAACACTTATTTTTTGTCTGTTACAATCCTCAAATAAGTTTTCTTTCTTTTAAAAAGGTGTATGACTAACAAATCCAAATTATATCCTTCTGAATCTTACACAATTATTTTCCTCCCATGAAATACACAACTTTAAAAAATGGCTGCCGCTTACATTTTACAAAGCCAGGTCTAATATAAATTCGCAGTAAGTAACAGAAATATGGATGGATGGTTGGACTTTTTCTCCTACAAGAATTGTTTGTTTTTATTATTAAAACAAGCGATCATTCATATTTTTTTGATAAAATGAATAAATATCACCGTCATTTAACCTTGATTGGCGGACTTATTTCTCAGCTCAAGACTTCTTGTTTTTAATGAGAAATTACCTCTGAATGGGGCTCTCAATGGGGGAAACAGATTTTAATATTAACGTTAAAATTATGGAAATTTCGTTTTAACTTGTTTTAAAGCATAAAATAAAAAGAAAATTTGTCTGTTTGTTGTGTAAGATGTAATTTTATTTCATCTCGTGAACTTTAAAAACAGTATTCTCACTCGTTGCTACGCCACTCGTGAGAATACTGTTTTTAAAGCCCACTCGATGAAATAAAATTTCATCTTACACACAAACAAACAAATATCCTCTATATATACAATTTCATCATTTTACAGATATAATCAAGTGTACATACAAAAGGGTTGGGTCAAAAGTTCTAGCAACATTATCGTGGGTCTTTAAACGAAAACACGCTAATAAAAATGAGTACAAATAGTTAGAATGCGATATTCATCATCTTGTTCAATTATAATACTCAAATTACATTATGTTCACCTCATTGTAATTTTATTGCATTTTATGCTTTCTGTTTTTGTGTCAGGCGCCTGTGAAACATGATTCTTTTTCTAATTGGGTAAGTGTTCGTAATGTGGGTCATTGATTTTATTTGAGAGGTCATGAAAATTAGGAGAGCATTCAAACATCATATGTCCATGTTAGTTTTTGTTTAGAAATTTAGTTATGTTGCTGAAATCTGATAGGATTATTCCTTCAATAAAAACATCTTTTGTATTTGCCTAGATGACCAAAATAATCAAGAAAATCAAGTTTGAGACAAGTGTTTTAAGATTTTAAGAAAAGTAAAATATTCACCGATCAGATAAAGATTTACATGTAAGATACAACGAAAGACTGATTTTGTAGTATCTATCATCATATGTCAAAATCTCATTAAACTGTTTCTTCAATCATAAATCATCATACAATTGAAAGTTTTAAAAAAATGAAGTTGAGTTTTTATGAAAGTAAAAATTATTTTAATTACGCTAACAGGCATATGGTGATTATATAAGTTATTTCAAAAATATTTTTCTTGTGTCATTCTACATTGAATTAAGACATGTAGAAAAAGTTTTTTCCCATTTTGTATCTCAAAACATATGTTACCGATTAATTCATTAAGAGAGTTTGCTAATTCAAATTATATCTCATATTATATATCTACTATTATTTTTCACTTTACATAGTTAATTATCACATTTATTTATTTATTTCAGACTGTTGATGCGGTTATTGTCAGTGTTTCAATCCAAACAGATACATTTTCCATTGCACAAAAGACATCCGTTCGACGTAACAATGATTACGAATTTGGACAAAAAATGCTCACAGAACTCAAGGTGAGAGTTGTGACTTCATTGTTACTGTAAGCCGCGTTAGCACTTATAAAATTATATTTTGTTCTTTATTCTTTTATCGCAAATGATTCTTATTGTTCAAAATATTGTGGAGCTAAGCAAGGCAGCATAAGTGATAATCTTAGTAACATGGCATTTCTATATCTTACAGAAAGAAACGTGCATGAGCCATTCCTATTTTCATTAGGTAATAAATGTACAAAAAAATAATAAAAGGTTTAATTGATCTTGGAGAAAAAGTTTTTAAGATCATTATAATAACTGTTTAATCTAAATCAATAGGAGAAGTAATGTACGAAACATTCACGGAGACGTTAAAGATCCTGTAAAATATGGTAAACAAGATCAACAAAGAAAGGCGGCGTTCAATGACCGCAACCTCCACACGATTGTTACTCAATTCGTGTTATGGTTTTTTCAATATCATAATCATGCTCAAATGAAGATTTATAAATAGTGTCTATCCAAAAAGCATTATTTGTAAAGAATTTACATTTTATGTTAATAAAGGGAAGTAATTAGAAATTTATTTTCTATAAAGTCTGAGTCAAATCTTTCAATAAGAAATGAATGCATATATTTTAATGATTGCATATAACGTGAACAAATATTTACAACAGCACATATTTAACATATACTGCGATGTTTGAAAATAGCTTTAAAAGTATAATTATATACATAAATAAAATTTCACTTAAGTGTGGTTACAACCATACTTACAACATACAGGATCTTTAAAGTAAATGTTCTTTCAGAAAAGAAAGTGCTGACACTATGTATTCATCATAGCCACTTACAATATGTTACTACAAATAATTTTTTTCTACTTCAAGTTATATTTTTGAATTTATGTGATATTGTTCGGTATAATCTTTTTATTTTGAAAATTGCAACATATATTATAATTATATACAATAATTAATCATATATAATTGTAATCCGCAGAGCAAATGGAGTACTTTGGCAACCTCTATCTCTGCACTACAAGCAGCTGGAGACCAGAAAAGAATTGATTATCATTGATAGAAGTAATGCATGTTGCACACAACGAAGATAAAGTCTTCTTTATCAATAAACTCTCTTGTATAAGTGTCTTTTTCTAAATCAACTTAGGACTGAATGCGCTTCATGCATTAATCAATCTTGGAAAGAATATGGCATATCAAATGCACAATCTCGTGATGAATATAGCATTTACAACAGATCAACCTTGGGATGAATGTGCCATTAAAAACACATAAACATCGAGATGAATGTAGCAAATTAAAACAAAATATCAATAAAAAGAAAATATTGAGGCCTAATGTAATAAAGCTGTTACAGAAAGCTTTTCACTCGAACAGTAAACAAAAGATTAAATTCAAAATAGAAAATTGATATTTCTTTTTTTTACAGTAACTAGAGATATGAATAATATATTGTAATCAAATTTGTTATATAGCAAGAATCAAGGCAACGGTTACTCAAAATAGAAAAAAAGGTTTCCAGACAATACCTAGATACATGATCATATACAGAATAAATTCAATGTTTCTACATATCATTTCAAACATTTTGTGCATATATTGCTTTTTTACATAGTAATAAACAGATGATTATAATATTTTAATAAGGAAAATAATCTAAAATTATTAGCAAATATTAAAATATCATAAAAGATTGGTCGAGTTCAAATTTTGCTGCTTCAGTTCAGACCACTTATTATCCGAGGTTGCTGGTTATTATTATTATTATTATTATTATTATTATCATTATAGAGGAATAAAAATATGTACGTGCACTATATAATATGTCTCTTGTCTCAATGGTGATACTTTATTTAATATAATGATCAGTGGAAAAATGACGTTAGTTATGTTTGTTTTGAAACTACTTCATAGCTTTATATATTTATTATATAATTTATATCCGGGTAACTTAACATTATCAGAACAAGATATTTAAATCATACAAGCATTTAACAAATATGAAGAACATGAGTGAAGCACTATAAATATTTTTATTTCTTTGTTTTTACTGTATAATGTGTTATAATGACCTACATTCCCGTTATTTAATGATTTCATTGTGATAATATTATATATATTGACATATGCACTGTTCGTGTTCTTGTAAATGTGTTGTTAATCTGTCTTATTTGAGTTAAATAAATTGTCCGTCTATCAATCTCGGGATAATAATAAATAGATTATCATCGGGATGAAAGTGACTCATAATAAGATTATTTATCAAGATGAATATGATTCATAAATGTTGCATAAACAATAGGTCAAACTCTAGATCAATATGGCTTATGCAATAGACCAACCTCATGTGTTAACTGGCTCTTGAAAAGATTATCCTCGGTATGAATGTGACACAAAAATGAATTAATCTCATTATCTTAGTTATATTTATATCGACTGTTCTTGTATTTTTACATTTTCTTATCTTTTATCGTTATAGCTTATCTTTCACATGACTGAATGTTAATGTTATTCACATATATTAAGTCATTGGATTGACGTCCTTTTTGCTTTTGTTACATTTCAGAAATGATTTTTTGTCAGAGTTTTGTTATATTCTGTAATAATAATAATAATTTAGATATCTATTGATTTTTTGTTTGTTTGTTTTATTGGGTTTTACGTTACACCGACACAATATAGGTCATATGGCGAAGTTCCAGTATTACCGGTGGAGGAAGACCTCAGGTGCCCTTCCATGCATTATTCCATGCACGAACGGGCACCTGAGTAGAACCACCGACGTTCCGTAAACTAGCTGGATAACTTCCTCACATGAGAGAATTCAAAGTCCCTGTCGGGATTAGAACTCACAGCGGTGAGGGTATTGCTTGTAGTAGTTCTAGACCATCTGCGTAAAGACCATAGTATATTATATGTTCGTTTATGAAAAACCGGATAATTCATTTAATACATATACAGCTTGCTTTCTTTAAATTTTATTTTACTCACATGATTGAATATTGTCTTGTCTTTTTTGAACATGTTATTAGATCACATACAGTAAATGTATTTGTTGATCGATCAGTATTTTTTCATTTTTATAGAAGTGGTGTTTTGATAATGTCAAACATATAACTACATATCATTTAATAAAACAATATTATATTTCATTTTTTTTTATATTTCCAAATATTTAAACCCTCATGCTTTCTATAAAGTGATTAAAACTGAAAGCCACTTTATGAAAGATTTGGGAAAAAATGATTATGTTATATTAGTTGCACTATTCTGCAACTGTGACTTGACTACATAAATTATAAATGTTTATAGTTCCTTCTTTATTGGTATACAAACATTAACATAAGTCTCCTGTAATGCAATTATTGTTCGCTAATTTCTTAAAATGGTTTTTTTATTTAAATATCCTTCGAAGAAAAAATATTAAATAATAACTTATGTTTTTAGCTTCTTATTTCACACACAAAGGCAGGCATTAATTGCCAACTTCTTTTGAATCAGAGTTAAAGTACAAAGTATTTTTACAAACTGCTTATGAGGAACATGTATTTCGCACAATAACCAAAAACACGTTGTCATTTGGCCTACCCTCTTAAAAGTGTGCTGACTGTTAACTCGTAAGGTACAGGTTAAATATTAATCAATATACCAAAGTATGGTGGCATATTTCTGCCACCAGATAACCTGATAACTAACTAGTTAATTAAGAGATTAACTAGTTACGTAACTAGTTAACCTGATACCTAACTAGTTAATTAAGAGGTTAACTAGTTACGTAACTAGTTAACCTGATAACTAACTAGTAAGGTATCAGGTTAACTAGTTACGTAACTAGTTAACCTGATACCTATCTAGTTAATTAAGAGGTTAACTAGTTACGTAACTAGTTAACCTCTTAATTAACTAGTTAGTTATATGGCTATCTGGTGGCAGAAATATGCCACCATACCAAAGCTTTGTCCAGGTAAAATATTAATCATTACTCGTATACCAACGTAAATCAACGTGTATATCGAGAAACGCCGGAATGTGAAAATAACGCACGATACGCGTAAAAAGTAATATAGAATTGTGCAATAAATGGCGGATAACTGACAGAAATTACGAACGGGGAAAGTAAACATGGCAATATATCTTTTATCTAACAAAACTGAAAAAAGGAATACCAACATACGACTGCAAAGACTTTACTCCCTGATCAAGATTTTTTCGACGACATTGCTTACTTTTCAAGCGAGATCAAAGCCATCATTTTCACGAATGATCTTGAAAAGTAAGCAATTACAAGTAACGCCGGAAAAATGTGAAAAAGTAAAATCTCGCTTTAAGCGAGATTTTGCTTTTTCACATTTTCCGGCGTTACCTCGAATCACGTTTCACGTACATCGTCGTAACTTTATAAAACGGCTTGACTCACATTTTATCAGCTTATTTTCAATTTTCTATGTCATCAGCAGAAGTTCAGTAAATGTCACTTGCCTACCGAAAATTGAAATTATACGATATAATATGCATTGTTGTTAAGAGTCGACAAAAAGCAAAAAATCACGCTCAGTTTTTTTCAGTTTGGTTTAATAAAAGACATTTTGGCTAGTTCACTGACTTCGTTGGAAATCCTGTCAGGTATCGACCATTCATTGCACAATTCTGCGTTACTTATTGCACGAATCTTGCGTTATTTTCACATTGGCGTTACTGTATATACACGGTCGTAAAAACAAAGACAGTTGGGTGTCAGTGGTAAATAATATGTTGTAAATAATAAGTTTTTAATCGAGCATGCAGGAAGAAATAATATGACTCGTCACACCCTATAGGGACCCTGTGAAATAGAACACTATCGGACCGTATTTGGTACAAAAACGAATATGGTACAAATGTACCATATTCGGTCAAAAATGGTACAAATGTACCATATTCGGACCGAATATGGTACAATTTTCGACCGAATATGGTACAAACATTGTACCATATTCGGTTGGAATAAGTTTTTCTATGCTCGCCAAAACGTATTTGGTACATACCAAAAAAACTCATAAAATGAAAATGGCCTACGTATATGGTACATAAATTATGTATTTCTTAATAAATGAAATAGTCTGCCGATGTGTAAACTTTTTTTCAAACTCAAATACATTGTATTAACCTAATATTGGAAGTGACAAAAGTATCATCATCATCATCATCATCATCATCGTCGTCGTCGTCGTCGTAACTAGCAGTAACAGAAACAGCTAACCTAACCACACTTTACATGGATTTTGCTGGTTGTGTAACTGTTTCGCCGGCTAGCTCAGTCGGTTGCGCGTCAGATTGGCACGCAGGCGGCCTGGGTTCGATTCCCGGGCGGGCCAGATACTTTCGTGGAGATTGGTCACGAAATGATTTCTACGGCCATTCTTCCCCTACCGCTGTTTCAAGTAGGGCAGTTGTCAATTACTGGCGAATGTATCTGCTTAGTACTGGTTACTAAGTACAAGTACTCTAAGACTAGTGACGTGCTTGCTCCAGGTAACTCTGTAAAAGTTTGAGGATTATCGCATTTTGGTTATGTTCATAGAGTGTGAACTTGTAAGGGTAAAGGTAGGCGAGCAAATCCATGAAGCGCGCCAGCGCTTCTTGGAAAATTTGATCGTTTAATACCCCTCGGTATTAATGCTTATATTTTAATACATTTTAATAATAATTGGTAGGTTTTGTCCAGATATGATTGCTTTAAGCAAACGTCGTTGCAGGAATGTCGACGTCGCATTCGATTGGTCGAATGACGTCGCGTCAGCCATATTAATGATTTCGTGCATTGTTTGGGTCAATCTAAAACTTCTGACAAGAAGATATTGCATGAGAAAATCCGAAAAATAAACAAGAAATTGGGCCGAAAAAATAACTAACGAAATTCATATTTCATGCATTTGCAGTTGTTTTACGATAGAATTTCTTCGATATAATTCAATATCCTTTGGTCAGTAGTTTTAGATTGACCCAAACAATTCACAAGATCATTAATAGCAATTTTCAAATTTTTAAAACTTTTTTTTTCGAAAGTGTATTTTCACCAAAATCCGATTTAAGAGATTTTGAGCTCTTTTAAATGAATATATCTCTCCAAAAATGAGGATGTTTGACTGGCTGCTTTAGACAGGTGTGACTGTATTCCTAAACATTGATGGCGATGTTTATTGGCCGATGATGATGATGATATTCTCATCGTCGTCATCATCATCACACCATCCTCATTATCGACCGAAAACATCGCTGTCATTATCATCACAAAAAAAACTTTTGTGATCACCATTACGATCATGATAATGGATATGATGATGTTGCTTTTTGATGGTGATGATGATGGTGGTGTTGGTGAAGATAACAACGATGATGATCATTGGGGTGTTGATAATTGATGTGATGATGATGATGATGTTGATGATAACAAACGTATTTTGATGATTATGACAGCGATGTTTATCGGTCGATGATGATTATTATAATGATGATGATTATGATGACAAATGTGTTTTGATGATGCTGACGGCGATTTTTATCGGTAGATTATGATGATGATGACGTGCTGACCGTCGTTATCATCATTACAAAACTTTTGTCATCATCATCACCATCGACCGAAAAATATCGCAGTGATCAGCATCACATTTTTGTGATCTTCATTACGATGATGATAATGGTGATGATGATGATGGTGTTGATGATGATGATGACCTTGATGATTGTGGTGATAATGATGGTGATGATGATGACAATGATGATAAAAGTTTGTGATGATGATGATGACGGTAATTTTGATCGTCGTCATCATCATCAAAACTTTTGTCATCATCATGACGATGATGATGATAATGGCGTTAATGGCGTTAATGGTGACGATGATGATGATGGTGTTAATGGTGACGATGATGATGTAATTGATGATGATGACAATGGTGATGATGATTGTGGTTTGATGATTGTGATGATGATAACTGCGATGTTTATCGGCCGATGATAATGATTATAATGATGATGATGAAAAAAGTTTTTTATTATGTTGACGCCAATGATTACCGGCCGCCGATGATGATGATCATGATGATGATGATGATGCTGATGATGATGATGATGATGATGATGATGACGATGATGATTATTTTCATGATGGTATTGATGACGTTGATGCAAATTGTAGTTATGATGATGATGATGATGATGATGATGATGACGATGATGATGATGACGATGATGATGATAATGGTGATGATGATGATGATGATGATGAGATGACGATGATGATTATTTTCATGATGGTATTGATGACTTTGATGCAAATTGTAGTTATGATGATGATGGTGATGATGATGATGATGATGATGATGATGATGATGATGATGATGATGATGATGATGATGATGATGATGATGATGATGATGATAATGATGATGATGGTGATGATGATGAGATAACGATGATGATGATGATGATGATGACGATGATGAGTGTGTACCATATTCGGAACGAATGTGGTACATTTTTCATCCGAATATGGTACAAGTTTGTACCATATTTGGTCAGGCATTTTACCCCAAAACTGCAGATACGTATATGGTACAATTAGACAGTTGTACCATATTCGGCCGAATATGGTACAAATTTGTACCATATTCGTTTTTGTACCAAATACGGTCCAACAGAGCACCAAGTGGTTTACTGTTCGTAGTTGTTGTCAATATTGCTCTTTAATTTTACTTTTTGTTAGAATATAGGCCTGATATACCATCTTTTCTCACTTTTATTCAAAGTTTCCAAGCAGTTTTTCAGACCGTTTTTATTTTAAATATAATTTAGTACCATTAAGAAATGTTAAGATGATTTTATCAAACAACTTTTTTTAAACCTTTTCCGTGACATCGCAAAATATATTTTTCAAAAGTATTGATTTACCTGGAATTTGTCCTCAGTTATTGCGCATTGGCATTCAAACAACTTCCCCAGGTGTTGCTTATTTTAAAATGAAATTTCTCTAATGTAACTTTAAAGAACAGGAAAAACTTCAAAACATAAAAATCACAGTACTATTTTAACTGCTTTTAGAAAACAAATTTCTCTCTGATTTGATGAAATAACATAGCTTCCCTATTGGTAAAAATATACTGAACCGGAC